GCAGGAATGAGCTGCAGACAAATCAGAGTTGGTACATACACAGTAACAATAAATACATTTTACCCTGGAGCACAGAAAAAACAATAGGACGTACACTGGAGAGAAAAAAGACACACAGTAAATATCCCAAACATTTGGTGCACGACGAGAGAAGAGGATCATGAGGTAGGTGTGCCCTGAACTGTTCAGTATTTTCTTCAACATACTTAGTCGGATCAAAACTATATTGTTACACCCAGCATAATAATATGCAAACAATTTATTATATGCAGTGCTTAAGTACTCCATCAGCTGGGTAACAAAAGTGTAACACAAGTGTTAATGGGCTCAGTGGTGCCACTGGCAGTGAAGAATAATAAGAAAACCTATATACAGAACCTCATCTGCAGGGAAATAATAGTATACTAGACACGTGATAAATGAGAAGAGGATACTTACTGCAACTTTTAAACAAGAGGGTTATTCAGAAGACAAATGGGACAGTTACTAATTAACAAACATACTGGTCATAAACTGAGTGCAAACTCAGTTCCCCGTTAGCATAGAGTTTTCTGCCATGACTTTCCCTTAGGTCTACTAAATATCTGATGTATAGTGAGTGAGTCTTTCTGGTCCTAAGTTCAAGAACAAAGGCATGAAGTCAACACAGGAAAAGGAGGCATTACCACAAAGATTCTCCCTAAAACAAGTACTGTGATATGTTAGAAATAAAAACTATCCCCAAACAGCTTCTTGTTTTCTAAAGAAATGGGTCTCATTTCTTTACAGTAATTAATTAGGCCTGCTGTCAGTTTAAATTCAATTAATATAAATGCTTTAGGTCTTTCTTTCTACAACAACCTGCCCACACTGCGACACCACTTTACAGCAGCAGTTAACTTTAAAATGTATAGCACTTTCTGGGGTAAGAAAAAAAAACACATTTAATCCACTGGGAGACAAAACTAGTCTCTGGTAAAGATCTACAACAGCTGTAACAAGACAATATGGAAGAACTACCAGGCACAGACCTACTGTGAAACGAGCAGTATTAGGAACAGGGAACTATCCAACGGATGAATGAATTTTAAAAACAACTACATGAATGTTACAGCAGCATTCATACGCGAGTGCTTGGTCTCTCTAGAGCTAAAATGGTTTATCATACTATATGTGTTTGCTTACACGGGGCACTGTATTTATGATGTCTTCAAGATGATTCTCTGTCACTAAAGCACAGTGGTCCAATAGTGATAGTAAAGAACCACGTAAATAACATTACAGTGAAACAAAATCATTATATGTATCAATGTACATTGTATTCAAATGCCAGAACTCTATTGTTGTATTTCTATTATTGTCCTATAAATCATATTTACTAGATCCTCTCAGAGGGGTTTTGTAAAATGTTCTTATGAGACAAATAATGTTTAGGCTGTCTAGACACTCCCCCACTGGGACCAAAGAGAAGTTGGGGAATCAGGCCAATCCCTATACCCAGACAGTCACCCCTGTGTTTAGAGAACAGCTGCCAACACCAGTTTGATAAGGAACCACCAGTCAGGAGTGACACACAAACGGACGCACACACACAGCAGGTCTGTGGGTAAAGACACTGAAGCCTGTTTAGCCACAGATGACACAACAATACCATCTATTATATTATACATATGCTAGACAAGACATTTGGGATTTTGTTAATGCTTATGTTGATGTCAAGGCTGCTGTTCAATACAGATTAATTAATAAATCATTTTACTGATATCTTAGAGTACAGAAAATGTTACCTTTGGATGTTTATGCTGCAGCTATTTAGCATGTTTTTGATGAAGACTTCAAGTCTGATCGATTCTGAAAGCAAGTCCGTTTGGCACAACAACTGCTTAATGCATCATCGTTGCCTTATTAACGCATAGTCGTTTCTTGGCTGAACTGCTTTAGGCCCAAATGAATTATATTAAGTATAAATACAATATATTAGGTTATCACAACATTCACAGAAAGAGAAAGACGAAACGTTTACAACATGCTGTAAAGCACTAAGTGGCACTAGATGTGTACTGATGAGGCTGGTTCCACATAAACACTTTTAAAAAAAAATATAATTTCAGTCATTTTATCTTTCTGTATGAGTCAAAGAAACAACTGTGATAAAGAACTTTTATTTCCACAACATGCTGAATGCCTTTCCTTAAAGGACAGGATTTCTGTGACAATGCACAGCTGAGGTTTTTAGTAAATAACTGAATCTATCTAAAAATGAGCTACCTGCTCACCAGACATCCAGTTTTACAGGTAACAGGTGCCAAGGTTTCCCACCTATATAGTCACAAAATTACAGCTAAAACCCCTTCCAGTGTGACACCTGTTTAGGAACATATTATATATGCCATCGAGGCAACACGCCACAAATACTCCCACTGCATGACTGTAGGTGGTCCTTCAAAAACAAATCCAACAAAACAACAACAACAACACCACACCTAAATGAAAGCTGCCACTAAAAAAGTGTAAGACACCTGATGCACACTGTAACCTGCCTGTCTTTACACACCTCCACTTTCCAAAAGAGATCTGCGTGAACAAAACATTGACAGCTGTAGCATAGTCACTGTGTGGAACCACTTAAATAACATTACAGTGAAACAAAATCATTACATGTATTGATGTACACTGTATTCAAATGCCAGACCTCTATTGTACTCTCAACACGTAAGCATTCACAGTATTTCCACTCAAACCATTTCTCCAGAAGATGACAGGCAGGTGTTTGGAGCATGATCCCTCTGGCTGACACGTCATAAAGATGTCAGCCAAAGGCTTTGACTCGTAATCAGGTCATCAGCAGAGGCTTGTAGTAGCCGGCGGCTACAGACACGCTGCTGTTTTCATTACTATGCTTCCTGTTGCAGTGCTGACTTGGTGTTTCAGACTCATGCTGGAACAAGATATTTGTCAAAGTGAAGGATATACACTCCAGAACCACCTAGCTAATGCAGATTCTGTGCAGCAACAGAAAACACGATTTGAAATGCAGATTTCTGTGGGCAGATGCGCTGTCCTCAGTTCACAAAGCCGAGGTGAAAAACTGATGGAACGAACATGGCTCCCAGCTCTGACACTCACAGGGATATCGAGGCTGGGCCACGTTTCTGTTTACTGAAATTTGGGACATCAGGCATGTTAGGTTTAGGGGTAAAGAAAGAACATTAGTACAATTTTTGTGTAACAGAGGCCGGACCTGAGATCTTGTCATGGCTCTGTGCCTTTTCTCACTGAAGAAGAAGAATGTAATTGTGTGTCGGAGCTCCACTGTGTGGACTCCACCATGCTGACCGGTTTTCAAGCCTGTAGAAAAATCTATTTCAGTTTTACTAGAATTTTATGAATTGTAAATTAATAAGAAAATGGTGTACAACTCTTGATTTTCCAAGTTTAAATCAATGCACATTCTTTCTTCATTTTGTTCTTCCTCTGAAATGCACTATTTCTAAACTCATGGACCTC